CTACCACTGGGCCACCACTGCTCCCATTTTCCTTGTATGTTCATGAAAATCCTAATAGTGCTAAGGAGACCCTGTCAGCATTTTCCTGTGTTAGACCACAGCTCCCACTCACTGAACCCCTCCAGGGCTTCCCATATGACTTCTGAGAAAGCCAGACCACAGGCTCAGGAAGACTTCCACTGGTCACCAGCTGCTGTTCTTTTGACACACAGAGCTTTTTCCCCCTGCTTGGCCCTGGAACATGGCTTCCAGCTTCCACCTGGTAATTCATTTATAATTTTGTCATCCTTCAGGAGCCTTTCCCAATCAGTCTCTGGGAAGGCATCTGCTGCTCAGTTTTATTCTCTTGACAGTACTTAACCACAATGTATAGAGGATCTCATTTATCAGTGTGATGGTTATGTTTGTATGTCAACTTGGCTAGGCCTGGTTGAGTGGCTGGGCAGCTGGATGTAGTATTCCCCATGATGAGACTGGTAATCAACTCCATGGTGGAATCTACTGGGAGCAGCAGAGTAGCTGCCTTTGGGTATGTGGTCTGCTTCCTTTATATGAGGAGAAGCTTTGAGAGTGGTCTTTAGCCTATGGCACACTTGGACCCTGCATGTAGCTATGTCAATGCTCAGCAGCCTGCTATGCTCTGCCGACCTTGGGACTTAAATGGACTTAAGTTAATGGCCTGCTGTGTGGTTCGGTAACATCGGGACTGTGCCTTCTTACTTGTCAACCTTGGGGCTTCTCAGCCTCAGCAGCCAGCAGCTGTCTGAGTGAAGAAACGCCTTTAGCTCCAGTGGGCTGGGAGCAGGAGGCAGACCTGGACCCCAAGGTTGAGGGGCTTTCACCCAGCCCCTAGAGCCTAGCACTTTGAACTTGGACATAAAGCCTACAAATTGTAAGAATAAATTTCCTGTTAAGGCCATCCCGTTTGTGGTATATTCTTGTCAGAGCGGCACTAGGTAACCAGAGCAATCAATGTCCAGGTCTATGGAAGAGGACGTGAAACTAGGGATGTCATTGCTGATGTTAGATGGATCTTGGCTGAAAGCAAAGAATACCAGAAATATGTCTATCTACCTGTGTTTTATTGACTGTGTAAAGGCATTTGACTGTGTGGATCATAACAAATTATGGATAACATTGCAAAGAATGGGAATTCCAGAACACTTAATTGTGCTCATGCAGAACCTGTACATAGACCAAGAGGCTGTTGTTCAAACAGAACAAGGGGATACTCCATGATTTAAAATCAGGAAGGGTGTATGTTAGGGTTATATCCTTACACCATACTTATTCAATCTGTATGCTGAGCAGATAATCTGAGAAGCTGGAGTATATGAAGAACATGGCATTGCGATTAAAGGAAGACATTTTAACAACCTGCTACATGCAGACAATACGACCTTGCTTGCTGCAAGTGAAGATGACTTGAAGCACTTACTGATGAAGATTAAAGACTATAGTCTTGAGTATGGATTACACCTCAACATAAAGAAAACAAAAATTCCCCCAACTGGACCAATAAGCAACATCATGAAAAATGAGAAAAGATTGAAATTGTCAGAGATTTCATCCACAGGATTGAATCCACAATCAACACTCATAGAAGCAGCAGTCAAGAAATCAGACATCATATTACACTTGGAAAATCTGTTACAAAAGACCTCTTTAAAGTGTTGAGAAGCAAAAATGTCACTTTGAAGTCTAAGGTGCGCCTAGCCCAAGCCATGGTATTTTCACTTGCCTCATATGCTTGTGAAAGCTGTAAAACAAATAAGGAAAACCAAAGAATTGATGCCTTTGAATTATGGTATTGGCAAAGAATACTGAAAATACCATGGACTATCAGAAGAACAAACCAATCTGTCCTGGACAAAGCACAGCCGGAATGCTCCTTGGAAGCAAGAATGGCCAGACTTCGTCTCATCTACCTTTGTCATGTTGTCAAAAGGTACCATTCCCTGGAGAAGGATATCATACTTGGTAAAGTGGAGGGTCAGCAGAAAAGGAGAAGACCCTCAACAAGATGGATTGACTCAGTGGCTGCCATGATGGCCTCAGGTATAGCAAGGATTATGAAGCTGGCAGAGGACCAGGCGGTGTTTCATTCTGTTGTACATAGTGTCACCATGTGTTGAAGCCAACTCAATGATACCTAACAACAACAACAACAGGTCTATGGAAGGCCGGGACTGTGCATTTGGACTGAAATCCTAGTGTCTGGGCCAGCGCCTGGTGCACAGTAGGGGCTCACTAAATGTCTGCTCATTGAGGGATCAAAAAAGTGTGTGTGAGTATGTGCGTGTGTATGTGCATCTGTGTGATGGTGTGTGTGTGTGTATGTGTGAATGTGTTTGAGTGGGTGTGTTTGAATCTGTGTGTATCTGGTTGTGTGTGTGTCTGTGTATACGTGTGTGTGTGTGTGTGTGTGGTTGTGTGTCTGAGCATGTATATGGTTGTATGAGTGTGCCTGTGTATCTGTGTGTGGTTGTGTCTGGTGTGTCTCTAAGTGCCTGTGGTTTTCCTTCCCGACGAGCCAGCTGCCTGGAATGTCCGAGTCACCAGAAACTGGAGCCAGAAACGGATTCTCAGTCTGAGCTGAGCAGGCTGGCTGACCCTCTTGCTGGGCCACGCCCCCTGGTGGGGAGGGTCTGGGCTCTGGGTGGTGGGGACTTGATGAGAGCTGTGGGGGGACCATGGTGATGTCAGGGGAGTCTTAGGTCCTTCTCCATCCTGTCCCAGGGAGGCCATATGTTCACAGCAGAGTCTCAGCCCCACGGACCCCTTGCAGCTGGATGAAAAGCCAGAGGAAACCAAGCCTTAGCTGTAGGAGGGGCTAACGGCCTAGTCACCGCCTCTGCCTGCTGGCCTCTGCTCTCCTCTGGCTATTTCCTGCCAAGGATTGGGACCTGGGGGGCCAGAGGGCCCTCAGCTGCTCATGTGGGCTCCACTGGCCCTAAGAGGAGAAAACAGAGGATGTGGCAGGGAAGAGGGTGCCAAGGCACTCCACGGCGCCTGTCTGTCCTAGTTCAGGGGCCCAAGGGGCCCAGTTGCCTCCTCAATGGCTCCCTTTCAGCCTATAGCCAGGGTGGGCAGGGCCAGGGCCTGAGATGGGCTTGCTAAGCGCTGGGTCTGCAGCCCTGTTGGATCTCTGCATGAGCCTGCAGCTGGAGAGTAGGGTGAGGGTGGGCTCCCAGGGAGCTTAGGGTGCCCTGGCTGAGGCAGAGGTGTAGGCTAGGAGCTCCTGCTTCCATCCAGCTCTGAGGCTGGCCTAGCTCCCCTCCCACAGACCTTGTATCTGGGGCTGGCCTCCCTTTCTGGAGATAGAGAGACAGTGTCAGAGAGACACAAAGAGAAAGCAAGAAGCCAAGACCCTGAGGATAGGGAGAAAAGGGCAGACAGACAAATGCAGGACCGGGCAGCAAGAGCAGGAGACAGGACAGAGGGCAGCCAAGGTCCTAATAGAAACCAGTTAAGAGAAACACAGGCGAGGCCAGGTCGGGAGGGGCTTGTTTTTCCAGAATGAAAAGCCCCAGGGTGGAGCTGAGGGAGGGCAGAGAGCTTCTCTTGATCCTGATTCCCCTTTGGAAAAGGGGCTCCACCTCCAGGCGATTCTATTGGGGGAATGAGTCCATTAGTTAGGTCCTGGGGGGAGGGGGCCTCTCCAGATGCTCCCGCCAGTCCTCCCTGTTGTCACTCCTCACTCCTCGCTGCAGCTGCTGCTGCCTCCTTCCCTTTGCCGAAACCCAAGAGTTGGGTTGGGGACTTGGGGAGTGGGCAGGGTCCCAGGGGTGAGACCCCAGCCCAGAAGAGACTGGTACCCATGGTGTTAATTAAATCCAAATGGGGAGTCTAAAAATGCACTGAGGATTTTTTGTGGTTGGTTGGGACTTTTTTTCCTCTTGAGGTTTGCTTAACTAGAAGGAGTGGGTTTGGTACACAGTGCGAGCTCTGTTATTTCGCATTTGTTTATGGTACTTTGTAAGTCTTCCCAGAGCTTCAAATTTGTGCCTTCTGTGGGTGGGTGGGGGCTCCCATTACACCCTTCCTCCCCCTTTCTCTGGGAGGGGGCTCCCATGCTCCATCTTCCTTTCCCCAGTCTCTGGAATGGGGGCTCCCATCCCCCTTCTTCCTCCCTTCTCTGGGTGGGAAGCCCTCATCCGCCCTCTTCTTCCCCACTTCTCTGGGTGGTGTGGGGCTCTCAGGAGTCCCGTAACTCAGGGTCTGGTTTCAAGAAGGCCAGGCTGGGCCCTGGATGAGGGAAGGCCCAGTCTGGAGGGGAGGGGGCCATAGCTCAGGCGCCCTTTCTGATATATTCCCCCAGCCCCAGTTCAGTGGGGCAGGTGCTACTTCAGCCTCCACTTCCCAGGCAAAGACACAGAGGTCCGGAGAGAAGGACCTGCCACAGCTAACAAGCAGAGTGGGAAGAGCTGCCTGGTCTGGCAGGGGTGCCACCAGGTGTGGTCAGAGGCAGCATAGCCTCCCTGCTGGTCCCTGCTCCTTGCAGACACTTCCTACTGCCTAACCTAGAGCAGGCAAAAGGGAGGCACTTGGAGGACCCCGCCCAGCTGTGGCCAAGCTGCTGACCCGGGAAAGCCCTGGCCCCACTCCAGGCTTGAGGTCCGAGGCTGGGGCCCCATCCCAGAGGTGGACAGAAGTGCCTCACCCCAGAGCCCAGCCCTGAAGCAGCCCAGGAGTGGTTCCAGGCCAGTCCCTCCTGCCCCACCAGGACTGGGCTCCTGTCCCTCCACACCAGGACATGAGCCAGAGAGGGGCCGGGCGCCCTGCTCGGACACTCCCCCCCCCACCCGCTCCAGGCCAGCTAAGGATGGGGGAGGCTGAGGGGCTGGGGCGGAGCCGGAGGGGTGGTCTGGCCTCAGTTGTCTGAGCCCAGGGCTCTGTGATGTCATAGCGGGTGCTGAAGAGGGGGAGAAGGCTGGGCTGTTTTTCTGGAGAGTTAGAGCCGGAAGAGACAAAGCGAAGCCAGCGGCCCGGGAGGCGCCATGGAGCTGCTGTCCCGAGTCCTGCTCTGGAAACTCATGCTTTTACAGGGTGAGTGTGAGGTGGGGGGGATCTGGGCACATGGTGTGAGAGGGCTCAAGGGACCCCCTGCTTCAGGGCAAGTGGTCTGAGGGAGATCCTCTTTCAGTCTCTGAGCTAGAGCCCAGAGAGGGCAGGACATCCCTCGGGGAAGGGGCCCAGTCTGGCGGGACTCAGACAGACCTAGGGCCTGAGGGAGAGGGGTCGTGAGTTAGAACTTTCTTTCTAGGGATGAGGAGCCCAAAGGTCCCAGGGGCAGATGGGCCAGGAAGGGGGAGGAGGTGGAGGTGGCTCCCTTCAGCAGGCAGTGCACCTGGCATCTTGTGGGTGCACCCGGAGGCCCCTTGGGTGTACGTCTCTCCCAGAAGAGGAAGCTGGAAGTCTAGGGGGACAGTGGGTTTGAGAGCTGAGGGAGCCTGGTCGGGCTTCAGGGCTTGCAGGGTCTCCTTGGCCCCTTTGCACTCTCTTGCCCCCTGAGCCCGCCCCCAGCGGCCGCTGACCCGGCACATTCCTCCCATCCCATTCCTCCCATCTTGGGCACTCAGCCACAACTCTGCAGCAGAGCTTAGCCTGTGGGGGTGGTGGCGGGGTCAGTCCTTATTTCTGTGGCCCTGAACCCTCTCCCCAGGATGGTCTAGCAGAACCCCTCCAGCACCCTTGCCGTGTCCTCACTCACATTGGCAGTCCAGACCACCCCCTTCCACCACCCCCTGGACTAGGCCCAGGGCCGCCCCTACCCTGCCCTCGGCTCTGACCGCCACTGCCCCGCCCCCAGCCCTAGTCCCCTTGGCAGGTGCACGCCCCCCCCCCCCCACTGCTGGCTGTGTCGGAGCACAGGGATGCAGAATCAGGCTTTGATACTTTTGGTGGCCTTGTATTGGATGGCCATGATGGTGATGGTGACCACTGTCCCTGAGAAGTGGCCCACGGGGCCGGCTGCACAGTCCTGAATGCACCACTCACCTGCTAGGCACACCCCACCTCCAGTTTCTGTAGCCCCAAAAAGGGCAGTCAGAAGAAGTGCATCCAGAATGCTCCTTAGAAGTGAGAATGGCCAGACTTCATCTCACCTCCTTTGTCCGTGTTGTCAGAAGGGACCAGTCCCTGGAGAAAGCTGTCATGCTTGGTAGAGTAGCCAAACCAAAAACCAAACTCACTGCCATTGAGTCAGATCCAACTCATAGCGACCCCTCCTTGTGTTCCTGAGACGGTATCAACAAAAAAGGAGAGGACCCTCAACAAGATGGATCAACACAGTGGCTGCAATGATGGGCTCAAGCATAGCAAGGACTGTGAGGATGGTGCAGGACCCGGCAGGGTTTTGTTCTGTTGTACACAGGGTCACTATGAGTCAGAATCCACTCCATGGCACGAACTACAACAAAAAGGCAGTCATCATCCCCACAGACTGGGCAGGAGCTGTGATAGGTGTTCTCAGTTCTGGACCACCAGAGTCCCCACGCTGTGTCCTCCTGACATCTCTGTTTTACCCTTCACCTGTAAAGTGGGTGTGGCGTGGAGGGTGATGAGGGGCCCACATGGGGTTTCACCAGGTGTTCCACCCTCTAAGTTCTGACTATCCTTTTCTCCTTCCAGGCACCGCTGTCCTGGCATACTCAGGTTAGTGACCACGAGTTGAGTCGTGGAGACCAGAACTGTCCACCAATCCCCCAGCCCCTTTCCTGTCTCGGTGGCTCTCACTCCCCGCCCCTCCCCCTGACTTGCCCTCTCCCCCCAGGGCTGACGACTGCCGGCAGCTCCGTGGTGTCCGAGGCGGCGGTGAACTGGGCAGCGGGCGCCGGTGCCGTGCTGCGCTGCCAGAGCCCACGCATGGTGTGGACTCAGGACCGGCTGCACGACCGCCAACGCGTGGTCCACTGGGACCTGAGCGGCAGCGGCCGCAGTTCCGCGCGCCGGCTTGTGGACATGTACTCCGCCGGCGAGCAGCGCGTTTACGAGCCTCGCGACCGTGGCCGCCTCCTCCTGTCGCCCTCTGCCTTCCACGACGGCAATTTCTCGCTGCTCATCCGCGGTAAGCCCAGGTTGCGGGGCGCTGTAAGCCGGGGGTCGCATACGCGGGTCTGCGCGGTAAGTGAGGAGCGCAGAGGGCGGGGCCGCGGAGTCACGGCTGAGGTTTTCTCTGGATCCGCAGCGGTGGAGGAGACGGACGAGGGGCTGTACACCTGTAACCTGCACCACCATTACTGCCACCTCTACGAGAGCCTGGCCATCCGCCTAGAGGTCACCGAAGACCGTGAGTGCTCCAGCCCCGGGCTCCTGACCGCCCTGCCCTCACCCCAATCTCCCCCAGGTCCTCCGACTATGGCCGACCCACCCTCATCCCACCCCACTCGCATGCCTATCCTGGCATCTGGCCGTACCCCTCCTCGATCGTACCCCCCTAACGCGGAACCCCCCAGCACCGCTGCGCTGTCCCCACTCATATCCGCAGTCCAGACCGCCCCTTCCACCATCCCCTCCGTTAGGCCCAGGGCCGCCCCCGCCCCGCCCTCGGCTCTGACCGCCGCTGCCCCGCCCCCAGCCCTAGTCGCGGGCGCGCGTTGGGACGGCGAGAAGGAGGTGCTGGCGGTGGAGCGCGGCGCGCCGGCGCTGCTGACCTGCGTGAACCGGGCGCACGTGTGGACAGATAGGCACCTGGAAGAGGCGCAGCAGGTGGTGCATTGGGACCGACAGCCGCCCGGGGTGCCGCACGACCGCGCCGACCGCCTTCTTGACCTGTACGCGTCAGGAGAGCGCCGCGCCTACGGGCCGCCCTTCCTGCGCGACCGGATAACCGTGGGGACGGACGCCTTTGCGCGTGGAGACTTCTCGCTGCGCATTGACCCGCTGGAGCCGGCCGACGAGGGCACCTACTCCTGCCACCTGCACCACCACTACTGCGGCTTGCATGAGCGCCGCGTTTTCCACCTGAAGGTCACCGAGCCCGCGGTGGAGCCGCAACCCCGGGACTCCCCTGGCAACGGGTCCAGCCACAGCGGCGCCCCAGGACCAGGTGAGGCGTAGCTGTGGGTACTTGAGAATATCGCAGGGTGGGGCAGGAGCCAGCCCGGCCTGGCTTCCCTGTCTCGCTCACGTTCCACATTCAGGGACTTAGGGTTCCCTGGGGCAGGCCCTCACCTGCTGAGACTACACTGAGCCTGTCCTGAGTCTGACTGCAGGAGCCCAGCAGGGCAGCCAAACATCAGGGCAGGTAGAGGTGCACTGCCTGACCTGTTCTGCCCTGCTCCTGCAGATCCCACACTGTCTCGAGGTCGAAGTGTCATCAATGTCATCGTCCCCGAGAGCCGTGCCCACTTCTTTCAGCAGCTGGGCTATGTGTTGGCCACCCTGCTGCTCTTCATCCTGCTGCTCATCACCGTCGTCCTGGCTACCCGTAAGCGCCGCCACGGAGGTGAGGGCTGGGCCCGCTGGCACCCCCCACAGCTTGTGGCTCAGGGCACCAGTGCTCATTTTCAACAGAATGTTGTGGGTAGAACTAAGAAGGACCCGCCACCAGAGGTGGGTCTGGGGGTACAGTGACCTGTGTGCTCAGCAGAAGGCGAGCAAGGGCCTGAAGGGGACCAGGGGCCAGCCAGGGGCTTCCTTGGGCAGGTATAGAGAGGTTTTGGGGCCTGAGCCACCTCCAATACAAGTCTCCCTCCCAGGGTACCAGTACTCTGAGAAGTCAAGGAAGTCAAAGGGGTGAGTATCCCCCCTGCTCACCCAGTTCTCTGAGGAACCCAGCCCCTTGTCCCGCTCCTGCACTAACGTTGTTCATGCTCGCTCCTTTAGGAAGGATGTAAACATGGCAGAGTTGACTGTGGTCTCAGGGGACCAGGCTCTTTACAAGGGTGAGGACTTCCAACTAGGTGAGGTGGGCATCAGGCTTGGGCTGGGGGAGGCCCATGTCTGGGGGGCCACTCACCCTCTCTTCTGATGACAGATTACAAAAACAACATTTTGAAAGAGAGGGCTGAGCTGACCCACAGTCCCCCGCCTGCCAAGAACATTGACCTGGACAAAGGTGAGTGGCCACTGGGGGGCCCCTCCCTGCCCCATCCCATTTCAGAGCCCAGCCCTCACCCCTGCACCTCACTCTGCCTGCTCCCAGGGGCATCCAAAGTCACTGCACTAAACTCTGTGTTCCCTGGGAAGTCTTGCTGGATGTCTGCCCTGAATTTCCAACCAGGAGGGTGAAGTAGAGCACAGATTTAGCCTTGCCCCTTATTTTCCAGAGTTCAGGAAGGAGTACTGCAAATGAAGTGATCCGAGCTCCTGGCTGGGCCAGCAGCTCTGCCACCTGCCATCTGTTCATCTTGGAGAATCTCTTCCCAACCCACATGTACTTGGCACCACTGGCCCCCCTCCAGCGGCTGGTCCCGCTTCCCTAGAACTTGGCCTGAAGTGGTGCAGAGCAGGCTGCCTCCATAACCCTCTACTAGAAGCCACCCCAGATCTCTCAAGCAATAGTGGGTTCCATGGGACTCCTGGCTGGCTCTCTGGCTGTCACCCCTTCAGCCAGCCCTTGCTGGCTCCTGGGTTCACTGGTGACCCTGTCCCTCTCCTGCCCCCAGCTGCCTTTTTGGATCAGCCAGGACTCCTTCAGCTTTCACCAAGCCTTTAGTCCCTTTTGGCCTCTGCCTGCTAGGGGTTGGGGCTGAGGCCACTCTTGGAGGGGGCTTAGTGGAGACACAGTGCCCCAGGGCTGGCATCCCTGTGCTCCCTCTAGGAGCCACCTTTGCAGCCCAAGGTCCCCAGGGCTCCTCTAGACCCCACTGTGTGTTACTCTGAGCCCCGTCTTGCCTGCAATCCACTCTGCTCAAGACCTGAGGACTCGGTGCCTTCCAGGCTCAGGGCTGATGCCTGTCTGCACTTCTTGGGGCTACCTGTGGTACCCCATTGTCCCATTCTCTGCTTTTGACCTCCTGCTCCAGCCGTGTTTCCGATCAGCTGCCTTGACAGTCACTGGACTCCATGTGACTTTTGACTCTGACCACATTCCTGCAGCCCCTCTTGGGGTTGGAGGCTGGGGCCATATTTGGCTTCTGCTTTTGCCTGAGGACAGGGAAGGAGTGAGGATGATTCTGGGGTGGCTTCTGCTGCTACTCTGTCTCCCCATGTTTGCTCCTCCTGGGGAAATTGCCATTGTCACAATAAAGGCCATATCTGATTTTCAGAGCCTGGCCCAGGTGTGCCTTTGCATCTGCCCCTTCTCTCAGGGAGTCAAATTGTCCTTGGGAATCCCAGATGCCTTCTTCACCTTCATCTGAACTTCTACCATCACTCTGTTCCTTATAGTGGAAGGTCCAGGCTGGCTCTCCTAGAACAAGTACCCTGGGAAGGGCAACCATGGAGCCAATTCTACGTCACTTGCTCCTGGTTGCAAAGGCATTTCAGACCCTCCTCTGAGTGCCAACTTGGACATGAGAGGGACCATATGGATATGAGAACCAAAGGGAAACGGTGTTAATGCTGGTCCTCTGGGAATCAGACACCAAGATGGGATAAGGCCAAAATTAAGACATGCAAGGATAAAGGTGGAGGAAGCAGGGGTAGGCAAGAAAGCTTTCAGATCAGCATGCAAGTGACACCTCTGAAAGGAAAGGGGCAGGAAGGAGGAATAGGCAGGAGGAGCCTGGGATCACAGGGCAGCTCTGAGAAAGTCCTACCAGGCCAACAGGGGCCATTAGACTAGGCTGGCTTTAGTACCTTGCTTGCTCGTGGTTGGCAGCAGGCTGCATGGCACGGATGTGTAAGGCTAGGGGCAGCAACTGGGCGGCAGGAAAGCTAAGTGGCACATTTTCATGGCTACCACAGACCAATGACTAAGTGCTAGTCAGTGAAGCCTGTGTCTCCCAATTCCTGGCCCATCCTCCAAGGCCTTCCCAGGACAGCACAGGACAGAGATGGGTGATGGACACCCACAAGGATCCCACAACAGCAAAACCTGGGAAGGAGGCCAGGCTGGGGGTGTGGGCTGTTCAAGGAGGAGCTCCCTCCCAGCCCAGTGACCTCTGGTCCCACCAGTAGGTGCACTGGCACCGGACAAGGCCTCCTGTAACAACCCACACTCTGGCCACAAACTTACCCCTCTTGGCAGGGACACAGCCTGACCACATCAGCATCAGTGCTGGGATTGGCCCAGACCCTTGGCCAACAGCCTCTCTAGCTCACTGGCTTGAGCCAAGTGTCAGGTGGGAGAGTGAGACTCCAGGGTCCAAAGGGCAGCCTGGGGCTCCAGACTGCTGCATCTGTGTATTGTGTCACTAGCTTTTCTTCTGACCAGCAACCACTGGGACTGTTCTGGGTGATGCTGGCCCCAGAGCTCTCAGGACACAGAGACCGCTTTCCTCCTTCCTGTGTACCCAGCACAGAGCCATGGGAGACCCCTCCTCTGAGGTCATCCTGCTTAGCTTCCTCAGTTACCTCTGGGGAACTGAGATTGGAGGGGTGAGGGAACAGGCTCCAGGCAAGGGTGGGTTGTTGAGTCTTGCTGAATGGACATTTAGCACAGCCTTGCATACTAGCGCCATCAGAGAAGAGGGAATGGAGGTCATGACCTTCAGCCTAGTCTCATCTGGGGGTGGCCCCCAGCCGGGGCTGGGGAGTTGATGGTCACCCTCTGGCCAGTACTGGCTCAGAACCCAGGATAAGCACGACCAGACAGGTGGGAAGTTCCAAGCTCCAAGCTTCAAAGGGAATTGTCTAATGATGGGTCACAGGGACATCATCCTAGGGTCTCCCCTTTTTCTCTCTCCCACCAGCGTGGGACTCCCTCTAGCGGCCTCAAGTCTCCTTCCTCCTGTGGAAGGCCCCGAAGCCAGCTCAAATTCCATGAAATACCTTCCCCTGCTGCCGAAACACCGTCCTCAAGACACCTGTGTCCACAGGAGCGCACAATCCGCGCTGACCCCCACCTGTTGCCTTAGGCCGCCATTCACGGGCTCGTACAAGCACACCCGCATCCACTTAGGGCAGGTGTTTCTCAGAGCCCCCGAGGGACCCAAAGAGGGCATACGAGCTCAGGGTTGGCGCGGGGGTGCAGAATGACGAGGCAACGCGGCTCCTGGCCCAGAAACAAAATTCCTCAGCTTCTCACGGGCGCCCCCCACCTCCACCCCGCAGCTCGCTGATGTGACCACCGGATCCTGAGCACCCGCAGACCCCGAGAGACAGTCCTTGGGAAAGGGCAGAGTACTGGGATCCTGCGGAGCGAGACTCGTCTCGGCGCGGGTTGGGGAGGCACTGAGGGTAGCTCCAGGGGCGGGTCTTCCTCTGACAGTTGCGGGGCGCGAGGCGCAGGTGGGCGCGGCAGCGGGGCCTGCCGAGGGCCCACCCAACTGTCCTGGGGTAGGAGCGCCCCAGTCAGTCCGATGGCTCACAACCCGACCTGAGCCGAGGTTCCGTCATAGGTCCAGGCCATGGGCTCTGGGCCCAGACTTGGGTGCGGTGTGCGCTGAACCCGGGAGAGCAGGAATAAAAGCCGGACTGGACCTTCTTGCGCTCGCCCCGCGAGCTTGAGACTACCCGCACGTACGCGCGCGTGCGCAGCGTACGCCCCGCCCCCTCCCGGTGACGTTGCGGCCCTGCTCCCGGGCGCCCCCCGGCGGCCGCGCTCTCAGGCCTCGGGCCGGTTGGTCCCTTTAACTGCGCGGCCCG